TGGGTAGAGCCATGAACTGGGAAGGCGGATCACATAGATTGGGTTCGGGCCCGCCCAGAAAAGAACAAAACGCAGCAGAATCATGCCGATTCTTGAAACAGGAGAGCCCAAAAAGACCTACCTACTTTCAACGACCGATGGGTGGTTTGCCCCCCCCCCCCCCATCCACGGCGCCCTCAGAGTGGGGGGCAGCAGCAGGGTCAAGTCGGGATTGTCCCCCTACAGGCGGATTACTGTGTGAAAAATAACAGATGGTCAACAAATACCCTCAAGTTTTTTCAAACAACAGACGAAACATCGTCCCCAGATACTTTTTCACTACTTTTGAATATTCCCCCATTGGAGGGACAAGCCCGACTTAACAGCAGGGGCGTGGATCGACCGTCGGTCGCCGAGCCGAGCGAAGCCAGACATGCTGCGAGCCGTGGCCCCGCCCGGGGATCCCCGACGACGACGGCGTCGTCGGGGTCGAGGCCGAAGGTGGCGCGAGGGAAGGAGGTGTGGGAAGGAGGCGGGGGGCGGCGAGAGAAAGACGGCGAGGGCGGCGGCGACGAGAAGGGGGCGGGGGACAGGAGGAGGAGGAGGAGGAGGAGGAGGAGGAGGAGGAGGAGGAGGAGGAGGAGGAGGAGGAGGAGGAGGAGGAGGAGGAGGAGGAGGAGGAGGAGGAGGAGGAGGAGGGGAAGGGGAAGGAGGAGGAGGAGAAGTAGGAGGAAGAGGTGGAGGAGGAGGAGGAGGAGGAGGAGAAAGTGGAGGAGGAGGAGGAGGACGAGGAGGACGGGGGCGGGGGACGACGGGGGAGGGCGAGGGGGAAGGGGAGGGGAGGGGGGGAGGGAAGGGGGGGCCGTGGCTTCGGCCTAGGAGGTAATTGCTGCAGCGCATCGGGTAGTCTCAGCACCATGCTTTCTGCTTCTTGGGGGGAATCGCGTCGCGCTGTTCCTGCGAGGCTCCGCGTGGCTCTGCTTGCCAGGGCCCCCTCTCTGCGGTTCAGCCTGCATCGAGGCAGACAGGCAGACGGTGACGACGACAGGGGGGAGGAGAGATGGAGAGACGCGGGAGACAAGACAAGACAGGACATCGCAGTGGAGCTCTGCAAGCCGACCGCATCCGGTCGGGCACGAGGAGCGAGGAGGAGGGCAGCGAAGAGGAGCGAGGAGGGAGGGCCGAGGAGGGCGAGGAGCGAGGAGGGAGGGCCGAGGAGGGCGAAGAGGAGCGCCGTCCTGCTCGCCCTCCTTCTCGGCGCCCCGGCTCCACGCTGCCGTCCTCACCGTCCCCTGGCTCTTCAGGGCGGGGAGGCTGGACCTGGGACAGAGGAGCATCCTTCAGGAGCACAGGGACGCCCAACGTCAGGTCGGGCATGCCCTCCTGCAGGGGGATCCTGGAGGAAAAAAATAGAACACCGCCGACAGATACCCCCACAGTGGCAAGCAAAATAACATCAGCATCATCCCCAGACTATCTTTCGACTAGTCTTCAGCGCTCCTCCCGCAGAGGTACACGCCCGGCTGGACTTAAGCCGGGCCTGTCCCCTTACAGGGGGATGTTCGACGAAAAATAAAAAGTACCCCACAAATAACCAAAAACACTCCAAACAGAGTCTGGGGACTATTTCTTGAAAATGTTTTGCCTTTTTGGGGGGTATCTTTGGTGTATTTTACTAGTTTTTGGCGGAAATCCCCTGGTAGGGGGACACGCCCGACAGAAGGCTGGAAAATGGGGCGGGGGGGGGACATCCTTCTGGGGCGCAGGGGGTGACTACCTACCAGACCACCCCAACCCAACCCGAAAACCCGAATTTCGGGTTGGGGGGGGTACGGGTTCCGTATGTGTTTTCTCGATGTTCCCCGACCCCCCCCGCCACTGGAAATGGAGGTCAATTTGAGGCCTTCGGGTTGGGTTGGGGTGGTTTGGTGGTGGTGATAGGGGGACACGCCCGACAGAAGGCTGGAACCTGGGCCGGGGGGGGGACATCCTTCTGGGGCGCAGGGGGGTGCGCCCGACGACTCGCGCCGTGCGCCGCGCGCTGCGCGGCGTCGCGAGCGGCTGCGCGCCCCTGCGCCGGCCCCCACCGGGGGCGAGGAGGAGGCCGCGGCGGAATCGGGGCGAGGAGGAGGCCGAGGCGGAATCGGGGAGCGAGGAGGACGAGGAGGAATCGAGGAGCGAGGAGGACGAGGAGGAAGACGAGAAGGACGAGGGGGAAGCGCGGCCAGCGTTGCGCCCCCGAAGGCGCCCCCGGAGCGCGAGGCCCTCCGCAGGCCAAAGCGCCCCAAACCACAGGCTCGCTCGGGGGTCCCCTCCGCCAGGATGCACGAGAGCACCAAAGAAGCACGGCGGACGTCGGGGCACCCTCCCCGAACCAGCCTCGATGTCATACCCTCGGTCCGACGCCGTACCTCACCGCCCTCTGCTCCGCCGCCCCAGCCTCGTCCAGCGAAAAGCGAAAAGCGAAAGCCGCCAGTGCGACGAGAGGGCGCCCTCACGAGCACGCAGACAAGTCGCTCAGCACGCGCACCACTTTCTCGCCTCCACCCCAGCGCTCGACACTTCGGCGCCCGAATCCCACGCGAAGCGATGACGATCGCCGCTCAACCTACGCAGTTGACACAGACTGGAGAAAGCTGAGAATGGCTAAGCCCTAGGCTATGAAGACACACTGAACAAGAAACACCCCCCACGAAGCACACGAAAGCAAGTGCTTCCAGGCGCCGGCTGGGAGGGAAACTATGAAGACAAACGGCGAATGCCTGGAACCGCAACTGCCAATCATGAAACGGGACATGCAGCAGTACGGCACTATGCTGTGTTTCGTCGGTGCTGCTGATGATGCTCCGCAGTCCAATGTTCCTCGATCCTCGTCCTCCTCCTTCTCCTCCTCGTCGTCATCATGGTCTTCCTCACGTGTCTGCAGGGTGGTCCAGGCGTTTCGCCCGACCCTGCCTTACGAACTATGATCCCGAACCTTGGAGCTCGAAGCCTTCCCGAGGATGCAAGGGGTGCCGTTTTCAAAAAATATTGGTGTCGCCCCGGCACCGCGCACGCTCGTTGCAAGATCCTGCAGCGGACGCAGGGACGGAGCACCAGCAGTCTTCAAGATGCGGCTCTCGCCTGTTCGCCGCGCACACTCGTCCTGAGAGTTTGCAGCAGCGTTCGGGACGGAAGGGGGGGCGGTCCACTTCAGTTTGTGGCTCTCGCCCTCGTGCCGCGCACACTCGTCTCAAACGTTTGCAGTAGCAGCTGCAGTGCTGCAGGGCGGCTCCGTTTCAGAAGTTGGCTCTCGCCTCTACCCTACCCCTTGCAGATTCGTCTTCAGAGTCTGTAACAGATTCAAAAGTGCAGGCCATCAGCTCCTTTTCAACATGCTTCCATATGATGTGACTCTCGCCTTAGCGTCGCGCACATTCGTTTCAACATCTTGTAGCACTTACATGGATGGAGCAACGGCGGTTTTCAGAAGCACTCGCGTTAGCACTGTGCACATCGTCCCAAACTCTTGCAACAGGTAGAAAAAGGACCGTTTTCAAAGGCGCCCCCGGAGCGCGAGGCCCTCCGCAGGCCAAAGCGCCCCAAACCACAGGCTCGCTCGGGGGTCCCCTCCGCCAGGATGCACGAGAGCACCAAAGAAGCACGGCGGACGTCGGGGCACCCTCCCCGAACCAGCCTCGATGTCATACCCTGGGTCCGACGCCGTACCTCACCGCCCTCTGCTCCGCCGCCCCAGCCTCGTCCAGCGAAAAGCGAAAAGCGAAAGCCGCCAGTGCGACGAGAGGGCGCCCTCACGAGCACGCAGACAAGTCGCTCAGCACGCGCACCACTTTCTCGCCTCCACCCCAGCGCTCGACACTTCGGCGCCCGAATCCCACGCGAAGCGATGACGATCGCCGCTCAACCTACGCAGTTGACACAGACTGGAGAAAGCTGAGAATGGCTAAGCCCTAGGCTATGAAGACACACTGAACAAGAAACACCCCCCACGAAGCACACGAAAGCAAGTGCTTCCAGGCGCCGGCTGGGAGGGAAACTATGAAGACAAACGGCGAATGCCTGGAACCGCAACTGCCAATCATGAAACGGGACAGGCAGCAGTACGGCACTATGCTGTGTTTCGTCGGTGCTGCTGATGATGCTCCGCAGTCCAATGTTCCTCGATGCTCGTCCTCCTCCTTCTCCTCCTCGTCGTCATCATGGTCTTCCTCACGTGTCTGCAGGGTGGTCCAGGCGTTTCGCCCGACCCTGCCTTACGAACTATGATCCCGAACCTTGGAGCTCGAAGCCTTCCCGAGGATGCAAGGGGTGCCGTTTTCAAAAAATATTGGTGTCGCCCCGGCACCGCGCACGCTCGTTGCAAGATCCTGCAGCGGACGCAGGGACGGAGCACCAGCAGTCTTCAAGATGCGGCTCTCGCCTGTTCGCCGCGCACACTCGTCCTGAGAGTTTGCAGCAGCGTTCGGGACGGAAGGGGGGGCGGTCCACTTCAGTTTGTGGCTCTCGCCCTCGTGCCGCGCACACTCGTCTCAAACGTTTGCAGTAGCAGCTGCAGTGCTGCAGGGCGGCTCCGTTTCAGAAGTTGGCTCTCGCCTCTACCCTACCCCTTGCAGATTCGTCTTCAGAGTCTGTAACAGATTCAAAAGTGCAGGCCATCAGCTCCTTTTCAACATGCTTCCATATGATGTGACTCTCGCCTTAGCGTCGCGCACATTCGTTTCAACATCTTGTAGCACTTACATGGATGGAGCAACGGCGGTTTTCAGAAGCACTCGCGTTAGCACTGTGCACATCGTCCCAAACTCTTGCAACAGGTAGAAAAAGGACCGTTTTCAAAGGCGCCCCCGGAGCGCGAGGCCCTCCGCAGGCCAAAGCGCCCCAAACCACAGGCTCGCTCGGGGGTCCCCTCCGCCAGGATGCACGAGAGCACCAAAGAAGCACGGCGGACGTCGGGGCACCCTCCCCGAACCAGCCTCGATGTCATACCCTCGGTCCGACGCCGTACCTCACCGCCCTCTGCTCCGCCGCCCCAGCCTCGTCCAGCGAAAAGCGAAAAGCGAAAGCCGCCAGTGCGACGAGAGGGCGCCCTCACGAGCACGCAGACAAGTCGCTCAGCACGCGCACCACTTTCTCGCCTCCACCCCAGCGCTCGACACTTCGGCGCCCGAATCCCACGCGAAGCGATGACGATCGCCGCTCAACCTACGCAGTTGACACAGACTGGAGAAAGCTGAGAATGGCTAAGCCCTAGGCTATGAAGACACACTGAACAAGAAACACCCCCCACGAAGCACACGAAAGCAAGTGCTTCCAGGCGCCGGCTGGGAGGGAAACTATGAAGACAAACGGCGAATGCCTGGAACCGCAACTGCCAATCATGAAACGGGACAGGCAGCAGTACGGCACTATGCTGTGTTTCGTCGGTGCTGCTGATGATGCTCCGCAGTCCAATGTTCCTCGATGCTCGTCCTCCTCCTTCTCCTCCTCGTCGTCATCATGGTCTTCCTCACGTGTCTGCAGGGTGGTCCAGGCGTTTCGCCCGACCCTGCCTTACGAACTGTGATCCCGAACCTTGGAGCTCGAAGCCTTCCCGAGGATGCAAGGGGTGCCGTTTTCAAAAAATATTGGTGTCGCCCCGGCACCGCGCACGCTCGTTGCAAGATCCTGCAGCGGACGCAGGGACGGAGCACCAGCAGTCTTCAAGATGCGGCTCTCGCCTGTTCGCCGCGCACACTCGTCCTGAGAGTTTGCAGCAGCGTTCGGGACGGAAGGGGGGGCGGTCCACTTCAGTTTGTGGCTCTCGCCCTCGTGCCGCGCACACTCGTCTCAAACGTTTGCAGTAGCAGCTGCAGTGCTGCAGGGCGGCTCCGTTTCAGAAGTTGGCTCTCGCCTCTACCCTACCCCTTGCAGATTCGTCTTCAGAGTCTGTAACAGATTCAAAAGTGCAGGCCATCAGCTCCTTTTCAACATGCTTCCATATGATGTGACTCTCGCCTTAGCGTCGCGCACATTCGTTTCAACATCTTGTAGCACTTACATGGATGGAGCAACGGCGGTTTTCAGAAGCACTCGCGTTAGCACTGTGCACATCGTCCCAAACTCTTGCAACAGGTAGAAAAAGGACCGTTTTCAAAAAGGTGCTCTGACTGTAATGCCGCGCACGTACGGTTTCACATGTTCTAAGAGCTTCAATGATGGAGGGCAGTTCCTTCTCAAAGCGGTGGTCCCGCCTGAGCGACGTACACATTCTTTTTACCTAACAGCGAAGACAGATAGGTTTCTAGTAGGCTCAAAAGAGAGCATCATGACGCCCCAGGGGGGTCTGGGCAGATGCCGGACGGGTGCCCGGGAGAATCCGCGGAAGTCGTTTTAAGCAAACAGTTACACACTTCGTGGTCTTCGAGGTCCCAGAACTCCATTCCCGGGCCACATTCTGAATGCCGGGAGCCAACTGTAGGCCACTTCGTGCTCTTCGAGTTCCCAGAACTCCGTTCCCGGGCCACATGTTGAATGCACGGAGCCAACTGTAGGCCACTTCGTGGTCTTCGAGTTCCCAGAACTCCATTCCCGGGCCACATTTTGAATGCCCGGAGCCAACTGTAGGCCACTTCGTGTCTTCGAGTTCCCAGAACTCCATTCCCGGGCCACATTTTGAATGCCCGGAGCCAACTGTAGGCCACTTCGTGTTCTTCGAGTTCCCAGGACTCCATTCCCGGGCCACATTTTGAATGCTGAGGCAGGCTGATGCTGAGGCTGAGGCAGGCTGAGGGTGAGGCAGGCTGAGGCTGAGGCCGAGGCTGAAGGCAGACTGAGGCTGAGGCTGAGGCAGGCTGAGGCTGAGGCTGAGGCAGGCCGAGGCTGAGGCAGGCTGAGGCGGGCTGAGGTGGGCTGAGGCTGAGGCTGAGGCTGGCTGAGGCTGAGGCTGTGACTGCGACTGCTGTTGCCACTGCGACTGTCATCGCGAGTGCGACCACGACTGCGAGAGCAGCAGAATCCTACAACTGGATTCTCACCTGAATCTTGAGGGCAATGCTTCCAGATATGCTCCTACACATCGCTGTTAGGTTGCTTTGCCAGGATAATCAAACTCCTGCTGCAAATGCAAAGCTTGAGCACAAGCCGTTTTCAAAATGGGGCTCTCGCCATGGAACCACGAACACTCGCTTTCTTTCGAGATTTCGCTACATGTAAAGACCCGAGATTTCAGCCCCTGAATCGCTGCACGCATCCGGGGAGGCCCTTTTCAAATGGGATATCTCGCCCAAGAAACTTGGCCCAACAGTCACACGAATGCTACCAGAATGCAACCGGACCCAGGCCAGAAGAGCATCCCTCAAGAACAGGAGACCCTCGCCTGGCCCAAACACACAGAACATCCGAGGGGGCGCTCCCCAGGATGCACAAGGACATCCAACGAACACGAAGGACACGAGGGGGTACCCTCCCGGCGAACCGACCTCGACCTTGGACCTCGGCCTGACCGCAAGAACAGCAAACTGAGTATCGGTTCACCGATCCCCATACCCAGCGGCGTGGCCTGGGCCCCACTGGCCGATGTACCCCCCTAGATGGGGATACAGGTCGTTCCCTTCGGGTTTCGAGGGGCGTGTCCCCAACTGGGGTGGTAATTTGGTGGGGGTCTCGAAGGAGATGGGGACGGGGATGGGGATCGTTTAAAGGATACTGACAAACTACAGGAACCATGAGAGGGCAGGCCGCCGGCCACTCTGGCCCGCACCTCGGCGGCGAGCGCGCCTGGGGGGGGGGGGGGCGGGACCTGAGGGTGGGGCGGGCCATCTCCCAGAAGGCTCGGAAGTCTTCGCGGCCTTCCGAGCACAGACGTGCGCGCTCCACCGCTCGCAGAAGAGCTGCTCCCAGGTGCTCTGGATCCGCAGCGAGGCACTCGCGGTCCATTTACGGAGAGGGGAGCGGATGATGCGTGTTCGGGCGCTGGCGAGTGGGCACCCTGCGAGCAGGTGGAGCGTGCTCGGTGAGAGCCGTGTCCCGAGCCTTCCCCGAGCACGCGGGCAGACTCCTCCCGGAGGCCGCCAGAGCTTCCCAGCAGCCCCGCCGCCCTCGAGAAGAGGGCCTCCTCCTCCTCCTCGCTCGCCCCCGCCCCCCGCTCGCCGCCGAGCCGTGTCCGGCCTTCGGCCCTGGCCATCAAGGAGGAAGAGGAGGTGGAGGAGGATGAGGAGGAGGAGGAGGAGGAGGAGGAGGAAGAGGAGGAGGAGGAGGAGGAGGAGGAAGAGGAGGGAGAGGAGGAGGAGGAAGAGGAGGGAGAGGAGGTGAGGAGGAAAAGGAGGAGGAAGAGGAGGAGGAGGAGGACGACGAGCGAGGCCAAGCTTTTGGACGCCCGAAAGGGAGTACGGGAAAGAATTAGCACGATGCCCAGCAACAAATGCTGTCCCAAATCGGCGCCAGCCGCTGTTGGGCAGGCGGCCTTCTGTCTCACATAAGCAAAGTCCGCGGCAGCGCGGGCGGCGAGTCCCATTCACAATGAGCAAGACATGCTGTTGGGCATCGTGCCCATACTTTCCGTACCAGCCCCCCTGACCTGACGCCAGGGCCCCAAATCTGACGACGCCCCCGCCGGCTATGGACCTGGCGCTTTTGAACGTAACCGGACGCCAGGTACTGAGCAAAGACCGACCGTCCCAGCATTCCTATAGTCCTACCACGAAATGTTCTTAGAACCCACAATTGCTAGCATAACAAAAACAATGTTCTTAGAACATAATCCCGATGTGTTAAAACAAAGCAGTCCCAGCCAGCAATGTTCTAAGAACATTTCGTGCAGACCACAAAAGGTTCTTAGAACATTCTTTGGCAGGACTATAGACGAGCCAGGACGCTTCGCCACTGCTTCAAGGCAGTTGAGCTGACGCCACCCCGCCAGCACTCGCCCGGCTCGCGCCCACCGCTCGGGCGAGAGCACCGCTCCCAAATTAAGACCGTGGCTAGCGTTCGAGCGGACGCTTCCGCCAGCTGTTCCCAATAAAGGACAGGGCTGGCGCGCAGGCGACAGCACCAGTCTCCCCGAGCCTCACGCCTGAGATCTGACCACGCCACCCCGCTCCACGCACCTCCTCCTGCTCCTGGCTCCCATCCTCATCCGCCTCCCCCTCCCCCTCCTCCTCCTCCTCCTCCACCTGTTCCTCCTCCTCCTCCTCCCCCTCCTCCTCCATCTGCTTCTCGCTTCCCCCCCTTCCTCGCTCACCCACTGCTGACGAGAGGCATCCGAGCAGGCCGAGGTGGGCGCGAGGAGGCCTCCGGGGCAGGGTGGGGTGCCCAGGCGAGGCCCCATGCCGCGAGGGGCGGGGCAACGGCAAGGGGGAGGAGGAGGAGAGAGGAGGAGGGGGAGGAGGAAAGGGCGGAGAAGGAGGAGGAGAAAACGGAGGAGGAGGAGGAGGAGGAGGAGGATGGGGAGGAGGAGGAGGAGGAGAAGGAGGAGGCGGAGGAGGCGGAGGAGAAGGAGGAGGAGGAGGAGGGAGAGAGAAAGAGAGATACGTGTATATATATATATAGAGAGAGAGAGGGAGACGAGAGAGAGAGAGAGAGAACGGGAAAGAGAGAGAGAGAGAGAAATACACAGCGAGGGACGGACAGGCAGAGAGGCAGAGAGAAATACAGAGAGAGAGAGAGAAACCGAGATACAACTAAAGAGAGAAGAGAGAGAAAGAGAGAGAGAGAGAGACAGAGAACAAAAACAAGCACATACAATACGCAGAGCTGAAGACACAGGAACACAATAACGGATACATGCACACGTATGCTTACATGCCGGGCTCCGTGTGTGGTACATATATATATATGTATATATATACCACCTATATGCACGTACTCATGTGTACATACATACATAAAGGCCTGCATGCATACATGCACACATACATGCATGCACGCATAGGCATACGGACAGTTAGGTTTGCACATATACAAACAAGCATACACACAAACACGCACACACATACATACATACACACCTACGCACATTATCAATGCATATGAACACCTATACATACATATATACACATACATACACAGGCGTACGTTCATGCATACATACATACATACATACATACATACATACATACATACATGCACACACCCATGCATACATGCATGCATATTTACATGCATGACTGCATGCATGCCACCATGCATGCATATACGCACACATACATCCTTACATGCATAAATAGCTACATACATGCATCAATGCGTACATACGTACGCACATACATACATGCGTACATACATGTACATACCAACGTGCATACATACGTACATACAGCCACTCACGCATACCTATATACATACGTGCATACATAAACACATGCATAGATACGAACAGACACACGTGCCTGCATGCTCCAATACATTCGTTCATACAGACGCACACTGATACATACACACCTCCATATATACACGCAGTGCATACGCACACGCATACATACATACATATATACGTACTTGCATGCATGACAACATCCATCCATACACACACATACATCAATACATACATACATACATACAAACACACATACGTTCCCACAACCATGTGTAGACGCAGTACATACACACACTCATGCTCACATACCTGCATTTACACATACATATAGGCATACATACAAGCATACACGCATACACACATGCATACATACATGCATACGTAACTACATGTATACATGATGCATCCGTACACACATGTTCGCATACATACATCACATGTATACATGCGTACCGACACGTATGATTATACATATACATATATATACACATAACTGAAACATCACAATTTTACATGCATATAAACATTATACGTGCATCTATGTCATATGCATATACAAACACCCCTTGCCATACATATATATATATATATATACGCATATATATATGTATATGTTAATGTTTATGTATGTATGTATGTATGTATATGTATGTGTGTGCATGTATCCGCCACCGTGCCGCGAGGCGCGAACTGGAATTTCTCCAGGTTCTCACATGCCATTGGTTCTCTGCACTCAGGACTCTGGGAATAAAGGCATGGGCCCTTCACTCCCCAATGTCCTGGGTGTTCCCGCGCGTCCCCAGGCTCCCCCGCATGACTTTTCCAGAGACCAGAGGGCCCCAAGATGGGCCAAAAGGGCCCCAGAAAGCGCCCAAGAAGCCTCCAAGACAGTCCAAGGGCGCCCCAAGACGGCCCAATATGGCCCCAGGACGGCCCACGAGGCCCCAAAGAAGCCCCAAGAGCGCCCCAAGAGGATCCCCAAGAGGGCCCACAGAGGCAACAATCATTGATGGTTCTTATGTCGTTTCTATGGTTATCGCGTTATTGCGTTTTCGGGCCTCCGACGCTCTAAGATGGCCTCAGAGGCCCCCAAGACCGCCCCGGTACGGCCCACGAGGCCCCCAAGAGGGCCCCATTACAGTCCAAGAAGGACCCAAAACGGCAAGAGGGCGCCCAAGATCGCAGGCCGCCAGGAGGCCACAAGAAAGAGACCCAAATAGAAACCTCAAGAGGCCGCCAAACTCAAGGGCCACCCGAGGAACCCTTCACGGTATCCAAACGAACATCCAAAAAAACTGTCACCTACAGTCCAGGCACGGTGCCGGGATGGGCCGAACGCAACTATATAAGTATGAAAATTGTGTTAATATAGATATACACATTATACAAACACGTATGGTATGCATTTGTATGTATGCATTACTGCGGTCGCATACATGCACGCATGCATGTACGAGTGCATGCACGTTTGTTTGTATATGTGTACGTACGTATGTGTAAGTGCATATGTATGTCTGCATGTATGTATTGATGCATGTACGGATGCACCTGCGCAGACGTATGTATGCGTATGTGCATGTATGTATGTATGCGTGTATGTGTGTACGCATGGTTGTTTGTATGAATGCGTGTTTGTTGGTGTGCGTATATGTATGGAGGGATGGATGCATGCATGTATGTGTGCATGCATGTATGCAATATGTGGGTGTATGTATGTGTGCATGTATGTATGCCTGTATGTATATGTGTATGTATTCATGTACACATGAATGTATGTATGTATGGATGTATGTATGCATGTGTGCATGTATGTATGTATGTATGTATGTATGTATGTTTGTATGTATGTGTATGTATGCATGCATGTATGTATGTACGTATGTATGTGTTTATGTATATATGTGTATATAAGTATGTCTGAATATGTGTATGCATGCATGCACCTATATATAAGTATATGTGTGTATGGATGTGTGTATGTGTGTATGTATGCACGTAGGTCTGCATACCTGTATGTACGTGTGCATGCATGTATGTATTTGCATGCCACCATGTATGTATGCATGCATGCGTGTATGTATGTATGTATGTATGTAGTATGTGTAGCATGTATGTATTTCTGGTTGAATGTATGTGTGTATGGATGTATGCATGCATGCATACATGTGCGTATGTATGTGTGTATGTATGTGTGTATGCATGTATGTATGTACATGTGGATGTGTGTGTTTGGATGCACGTATGCATGTAAATATGTACGTACGGATGTGTGCGCACGTGTGCATGTACGTATGTATGTATATATATATATATATGGATGCATGTGTATACATGTATGCATGGATGCATGTATGTATGCATGCATGAATTCAGGCTGGGATGTATGTGTGTATGTGTGTATGCACGTGTGTATGTATGTATGTATGTTTGTATGTATGTGTGTGTGCGTGCGTGCATGCATGCATGCATGTATGCCTGTCTGTTTTTTGTTACTGTCGTTCTGTGCACGCCGCACGCGCACCTTGTGCCTCTGAGCTCGGCCCCCTCAGCTCGGCCCCGCCCGCTTCTCAAGGCGCCCCGCGGCCGCGGACGCTCCTCGGAGGCGGCATCGGCGGTAGACCACGACGGATCCGATCGCGTCGCCACTCCCGAGCCCGCCTCGGGGCGCCCGTGCACCATTTGTCGAGCATCCGCATTTCGCAGGAGGAGGAGGATTGGATTGGATTGGAATGCCCTCGAAAGGGGGAGGGCACAGCACTAAAGCCGCGCGCCTCCGCGGCCGGCGGGCGCCCGCGCGCGGGCGCGCGGCGGGCCGCGGGGCGCTCACGGCGCGGGTGGCGCACGGCGCCAGCGGGCCCCCCGCAAGCGGGCAGCATGGGAATAGCTGGACAGCCCCCCCCCCACGCACTGTCGGGCAACAGCAGCGGAGGCACACCCGGCATCCTCCGACCGGACGCACGCCGCGCCCCGAGCTGCTGCTCCTGGCGCTCCCAGGGGGGCCCCTGCTCGCCGAGGAGGACGACCGCGCCTCCGGCGTGGCCGCCAGCGCCCCGCGTTCGTGGGCGGGTCGGCCTCGAGAGGGCCAGAGGCGCCCGCGCCCCTGTCGCCCAAGCCCGCGCTGGAGCCATGACCGGCCGAGGCCGAGGAGCTGTGCGCTGGGAGCTGAGGAGGGGCAGGAGCAGGAGCAGGAGTAGGAGTAGGAGTAGGAGTAGGAGTAGGAGGAGGAGGAGGAGGAGGAGGAGGAGGAGGAGGAGGACCTCCTCATCTCCCCCTCTCCCCCGTCCTACAGATGGTAGTGGTGGTGGACAAGTTGCCCATCAGACGGCCGCCGCTTCCGGCGTCCATCGGCGCTGGCCGCGGGGAGCAACGGCTGGCGAACAGCTGCCGCTTGGAGCACTCTGTGCCCGCCACCTCGCGGCACCTCAGGCACCGCCACCTGCCGCCTTCACTCATCGGGTCATGGGCAGAGACGGCCAGCTGGGGCTCCTGAGCCTGCACGATGCGCACTCCGTGGTCGACGTCATCCCGCGCCGCGGCCGCCGTAGAGCCTGCGTGCCCCAGCCAGCGCGGCGTGCCGTTGAACAGCAGCTGCCCGCGCATCGCTCGGCCTCGCTCCCGTGCGGTGAGGCTGAACTGGGCCGTGATGGTCTTTGGCCCACCGGTCGGCCTTGATGTTCCCACGGCGCTGCTTCGGAGCAAGCCTGCTGCGGGCCGCTGCCGCCTGCCTGGTATGCGCCTTGACCTTTTTGACAATGCCTCCCTCAACGCCGATGCCACCGAGGTCCTCGATCGCGCCCCAAACCAGGGCCCAGAGATGGCCCACGCTGCGCAGATAGCCGTGGTCGCGGCGGGGACCCGCTGGAGAAGCCCGTCGACGACGAAAGCGGAGTCGCCGTGGAGGGTGATCGGTGCGCGGCTGTGCCGCAGCGCCACGTACACAGCGAGGACCTCGGCCCCGTCCACCGACTGGTGCAGGCCAAGGAGGGGCGCGCCCAGCGCGCGCGGCACTGCCCTCCCCTGGGTCGCGGGCATCGTCGCCTGGCGCCAGTGAAACGACTGCGCACCCTGCAATGCCGAACACCAGGGCGACGTCCAGCGCGGACCTATCCAGGAAAAGGTCGGTGTTGTGGAAGGGCTCGCCGCCGTCGCCGAGGTACCAGCGCACGCGCTCCAGTATCCCGAGGGGGCCGCGTGCGTCTGGCGGCTGCCAACTGCACAATGTCAGAAAGAGGGCCCGTTCGACCGGGCAGCGGATGCGCACGTCATGCTCACTGTCGAGCCGCACGCGCACCTCGGCGGGGAGGTCGCAGCTTTACGGCGCGGGGCACTCCACATGGCGGTGCCACGAGGTGCCCTTGCCCCCCTGGCACCTCGCACACAGGTCCGTCGCGGCGTACTGCGGCGAGTTGTGAAATCGCCGATGATTGGGCCACTGCCCACAGACCATCAGCGATCCCAGGTACCCCCTCCCCTGCGCGTGGAGAGGCGCCCATCTCCGAGTGTCGTCGTGCGCGCCCTTGCCGATGTGTACCCGTTTGCGCAGCTGCCGAACGTCGAGCCCAGCGAGAAAGCGCGGCTGGTCCTGGGCGCCCTGCCGAATCTGCCACCGTTCCACTGCCGATCCGCGCGACCTGCTCGCTGCACCATGGGGAGTGTGCCGCGAGGTCGTAGTGGGCGCCGCCAGGGCTCCACCTCCCAGTGAGGGAAGCCGAGGTCCAACCGGCGCGCCGGCGGGCCCTCGCACCTGGCCCCGTGAGCTGATGCCGCGCTGCGCCCGCTGCCAGAGCCGTTCGAGGACGCGGGAGGGCAACCACTGCACGGCGAGCGCGCGGTGCAGGGTGCGCCATGGCTCGATGGTGCCCCGGGCAGAAGGATCCAGGTCCCGCACCTTGGACAGCAAGAAGCACATGGTGCGGCCCGTGCCCTCCCGCCGCTCCTCGGTGGCGGCGAACGTGATGGCCCTCGCCTCCTGCGCCTCGGCGTCGGTCATGCCCGTGACGCCGACGCCGCACGCGATCGACGCCTCGAGGCCGACCTTGGCAACGCAGCTGACGGCGGCGCGCCTTTTGCCCTGTTGCAGCACCATGCGCAGCCGCGGCACTTGCAGTCGCGCCTGGGCCAGTCGCTCAGCCCGCAGCGGCCGTCGCAGCAGCCGCCGCCGCAGGAAAACAATACCGAGGTTCCGCACTGCCTGTCTGTCTGTCTGGCTGCCTTCCTGTTTGTTTGCGTGTATGTATGTATGGGTACATGAATGTGTGCATGAATGTGTGCATGCGTGCATGGATGAATGCATGCATGCATGCATGTATGTAGGTAGGCATGTAATGTAGATACGCATGTAATGTATATATATATATATGCATGTGTGTGGAGGGATATAGAGAGGTGTGTGTATGCATCGATGCGTGTATGCATGTATATATGTATATATGTATGTATGTATGTATGTATGTATGCATGTATGTATGTATGTATATGGGTATGTAGGTAAGTAGGTAGGTAGGTAGGTAGGTAGGTAGGTAGGTATGTACGTGTGTATGTATGTATGTGTGTGTACGTATGTATGTATGGGTGTGTATTTATGTATGTATGTATGTGTGTGTATGCATGTATGTATGCATGTATGTATGTATGTGTGTATGTATGTATGTATGTATGTGTATATGTATGTGTGCATGTATGTATGTGTGTATGTGTGCATGTGTGTATGCATGTATGTGTGTATGTCTGACTGCCTGTATGTATGTGTGTATGTTTGTACGTATGCGTGTATGAAGTTATGTATGTGTGTATGTATGTATGTATGTGTGTATGTATGTATACGTATGTGTATGTGTGTATGTATGCATGCATACATGAATACATGTATGCATGTGTGTGTGCGTACGTGCGTGCGTATGTATGTATTGTGAAGAGTGCACTCCCCTGCCCCTCTGCCGCCCGTGCCACCATGTGTGTATGTTGTACACGCTTGTCTTGTTTTGTGGCATGCACGCTGCCCGCCGCTGTTTTGGCCCTAGTCCTAGGGCCATGGGACGCACCCGCAGTTGGACTGCCGCGCGGTCTTTGCTGAAAACAACTGCACTGACATTGGTAGCGGAGCTAGTAAGCTCCAGCGGACGCACTGCGTGCTCTGCTTCGGTGGTTGTGTCCACCCGCGTGGGCCGCCATGGCCGCCAGCCAAGACGGCTCAGACGTGGAGGCTGCGTCCTCCGCAGGCACAGGTCCCCGGGACCTGCATGCAGTCCTGCGCGTGATGGCCGAGACCCAGCGGGAGCTCTTGGCCTTGCATCGGGATCGTGGCGACGGCGGTCCCAGACGTACACGTCTACTGCTGTCGCAGGTGAGGCTCCCAGAGTTCGATGGTGGAGTCGGTACGAGTACTAAGAAGTACCGAGAGTGGCGCAAGGAGGTTGAAGTCATCCGCAACCTCAATCAGCTCTCAGACGTGGAGCTGGGCCTGATCATCTACAGTCAAGTGACAGGTCGAGCCAAAGAGCTCATCGAGGTGCTTGACGCGTCGGACCTCCGACGCGAGGAGACGCTCGAGACCATCTTTGCTATCTACGACGACGCCTTCGAGAAGATGGATCACGAGCGCCTCGATCAGGTGCATCAGGATTGGGAGCGAGCACACCGTCGAGCTGGGCAGCCGATCATGGATTGGACCACGTACCTGCGCAAGAAGCGCATGGAGTTGCAGCTCGAGGATCCCACATCAGCGATCAGCGATCGCGCATTGGCAAGCAAGATGCTTCGTGGCGCTGGACTGTCGCAGAAGGAGCGAGCGCAGGTGCTCTTCAACTGTGGCGGCATCTACGACTCGAAGCGGATGGAGGTCGTGCTGAAGGCAGCCTATTCGAAGGTGCACGACACCGAGAAGCGCTCAGTGCTCCCTCGCCGCTCGCCGTTTGCGGCGCAGCGTGAGCACGGGCGCTCCTCTGGGAGTTCGGGCGGTCGCTATCCGCACCCTCCCACGGCTCGTAGGCCGTACGTGCTGCGAGGACGCTCTGGCCAGCACGTACACGAGGTAGAGAACGGCGAAGACTACGATGAACACCACGGCGACTTGGAGGAGCCGCAGCATGACGAAGATGAACCAGACGACCAGGACGAAGGAGATCTCGGAGGGGCCGAGGGCCCCTTCTTCGAGGAAGGCGCCGAGGTCGAAGAGGAGCTGGCGTCGGACAACGACGGGCCAGATGACGAGGAGTACGAGGCACCGGAGGATCTTCAGGAAGCGTTCTTGGCCGGCTGGAGGGCCAAGCAGAAGACGGCGGTACAGCGTCAGAAGCGCGGGTTCGTTGCTCCTCGGCAGCGGGACCCCAAGAAGATCAACGCTAGCGGCTCCTTCCAGGCTGGTCGGAAGCCGACAGACCAGCGCAAGGCTAACAGCCGGTGTGCTGACTGCGATCAGCCTGGCCACTGGCGTGGCGACCCAGAGTGCCCCAAGGTGAAGAGTGGCGAGCGCGAGCCGTACAACAAGATCGGACCTAAGAATGGCCAGCCAGCGTCGCCCAACCAGCGGAGCTCTGTGAAGCCGCCGGCGCCTAGGCAGGTGCATGGACCGATCGTCCACTGGGTTGGCATGGCAGGCAGTGCCGAGGAGCGTCGTGGCCGCGCTCCATGGCGCCGTGCTCCCCAGTCGGTGCCTGCCCAGAGGCATCCAGTGGAGGGTCGAGCGGACGCGCCAGAGCGGATCATTATGCACCCCAGGCCCAAAAGCATGCCTGCGCCGAGCCTACGCCAGGACGCCGACGACGGCCCAGGGGCCGCACAGAGCAGTGATGAACGTGCGCGCGCCCGTGCCAGGCGCGGGGAGGATCAGGAGGACGAGGATGCTGTCGTGCGTTGCCATCGCATTCTGGCCAACACCCACGCAAAGGGGCACAGCGTGGAGTTGGAGTTTCCTGACCTTGCCACGGTCCATCACATCGTGGAGCGCGTGACGAACAAGAAGCCTATCTTCTTCAAGCAAGGCCGCTTCGAGAGCCTCGACTTCGTCCAGGGTCGGCTCGTGCGCCTGCAGCTGACCACATCGAGGCCTTGTACGGCGGCTGAGGTGGATCTCGACGAGATCACGGCAACTATATTCAAGATCGTGATGGGCGGCAATCGTGATACCAAGCCCCGTGACGATCGGCGCGGTGAAGGCGGGAGTCGTGACACCAAGCAGCGTGAAGATCATCATCGAGATCGTCGGGACGACCGCCAGCGTGATCGGGGAGCTGTTCTTCGCGAGCCTCGCGCCCCTCCTCCGCCCGAGGCGGAGGCTTCCTCGCGTTCAAGGTCGCGGAGTACGCCAGGAGGCCGCGGTGTGAAGAAGGAGAAGCTTATTCCACCAGAAGACCGCGGTGAGAAGGAAGAAAAGGAAGAAAAGAAAGAGAAGAAGAAGAAGGCGAGGAGCAGCAAAGAAGAGAAGAAAGAGAGAAAGAAGGCAAGAAGCAGCAAGGAAGTGAAGAACGAGGACGAGGCCAGCGAGGATCCTGAGGCCACCGAGGACGACAACGACCAGCGGCGTGAGGATAAGGAGGTGCCGTTCACGCCAGAGGAGATGGACGAGATCTTCTGCAGCTGGTATCCGCGTCAGGATATCTTCAGGGATTACCTGACGCCGCCGGCAACCATCCACTTCATCACTAAGAACGACCGCATCGTGCGCCTCAATCTCTACACGCGCCGCAGCGAGAAGCCAGATTTCTCCTTATCCAGCGGCCCTGCGAGGGCCCATCCTGTATACGTGGTGGAGGCGTCGGCGAAGGGAGCATCGAAGACCAGAGAATCCCCAGACGGAGCTGTGCCTGGACTAACGTCTGCCGCTCCGACTGGGGAGGCCGCCGCTGTCCCTAAGGAAGAGGACTGGGTCATGGCAGGAGCCTCCGAGGAAGTGAGAAAGAGCGAGGAAAAGAAGCGACTAGAGGTTTTGCAGCGTGATAAAGCTGAGTTGCTGGATCGCCTCGCGCTGATAGAGAAACAGGAGATGGAGATGCACACCCGATTGAACCCAGGCGAGGTCTACGACGGCCTACAGAAGCGACGTGAGCAGGCACCTCTGCCAGGGCGTAGCCTGCCTACCTCTCCTGAGCAGCAGGGAGTCGGAAGCGTGTGGAAGAACATGGAGGCAATACGACGACGTGTCCACCTTCCAGCGCCTCCAGGAGCCGCGAGCTCAGGTGCCCCTGCCGCTGCGACGGCATCTCCAGCTGCATCTGGAGTCCCGCGTGTAGTCACCGCCTCTGGACGGAGCTACGTCATGAGTGTCGGTGCCACGCAGAGTGACCTGGAGAAGCA